TGAAATCTATGATAGAATGAAATAGAAAGTGGAATGGGAATGAAATAAATTGGCAGAATTTAAAGAAATATTCTTTCTGAAAAAAAGCAGTATTGTACGTCAATCATAACGTAGATGTAATAACAGAGCCATTGTGATAATCTAATAAAGTCATAAATTATACATCTGACAGGACATAGAGACGAGTATATCAATCGTAATATGTTACATATCAATTTCATTAGATGTTCACATAGTCACTGAATATATTACAAATTTTGATACTCAATCAGATCTTGCCCAAAGCTGAAGCGCAACGTCGAGAAGCCGTGTGCCCGAGAATCCCACATGCAAGCGCAACTTTTGCTATTAGCTGAATAATTCACCGATCAAAAATTACTTTCAAAAACAAGAATTTTTCTCGGAAAACGTTTTATTCAAGCGACCTAACGATTATACCAATCGATACTTCAATCAAACTGATCACTGGCCTGAACAACCGCCCGCATAATTGCCAACAATAATAAAGTGAATCAACTAATAACTCTAAAAAGCTTCATTCAACCACATATATTCAGCATTTTATTGCGCCTCAACACAACAGCAACTAATTATATTAGAACAGGTGTGCGATCACCTACACATAATGGTGCATGCAGCCGTTACACTTCTCGCTATAATATGCACATCACATTCTCATTTACATTTTAAACAATTGTTAAATATCTCATCGCATTCCCACAATCCAACTTTTCTCCACTCCCTATCTCTTCAACCATTACAACACTAAAAAACTGCTAATAATCAAGTCATCAATCAAGCACAATCACCTCAACATTCGCTCTAAAATCGCCAGAAAACTTATTTGAAGCACCCGAATCAATGCCATACTCTTTTTTGAAGACAAACATGTTTATCCACAAAGATAATTGCTAGTTTCAAATTCATCACGGAATCTATCAACAAGGTCTGTCGCCATATAGCGGAAATACTTAAATATTATTTGAAAACAATTGAAACCATTCCTAAAATGAACACCAACACAGACGGCATGCAGAAGGGAAAT